TTTATATTGTTTTAATAGACTTATATAAGACTTTTTAAGTCATTAACTAACCTATACACTTCATAAAATCCTAACTTCCCAAATCAAAACAAATGGTCCCCAAAATCTTCTCTCTAGAACTCCAAGGAAGAAAAAGAAGCGGAAGATCAAGTTAGGGCTTGAAGAAGGAGGCTTTTTTCACACGAATTTGTTGGATTTCTTCACTTAAGGTATGGTAGTCCTTGATTCATGGATAGATTTCTTCCATGGAGTCCTCAAACTCTCAATTCCAAAGTTAGAAAATCTCTAAAACCTAGGGTTTTTACTCCAAGTCATGGATTCTTTCTAAAAACGTTTTTATGATTTAATTATCTTATATTATGATTGAATTTCTATTTTATGGTGGTTTTATGATAAAATCTCCCATGAATCCGTGAATTACCCTGATCTCTCAAATTGGATCTTAAAGTGTGGGTATTGATATATATTAGTAGAATGTTATAAAACCATAAATATAGTGAATTGATTACTTGAATTATGTATTAATTGAGGAATTTCTATGATTTTTATGTTGAATTTTCTCCAAGAACCCATGAACCCCCATGTCCCCAATTTGTGACTTTGTGATGTTGTGTGAAAGGTGGTGAGATGAACATTATGAGATTTTATTGTATTAGTTGAGTTATTTGAATCATGTTGTCTTCCATGTTTAATGTAGTAACCCTAAATGTGATTGGTTGAATGTGATCCTTGATCCAGAGGGGTAAAACATGAGACTTATGTCTAATTGTGGCTTCATGTGTATAATTTATAATCATGATTATAATCCAAATTGTTGTGTTGTTGAAAAGTCATTTTCACATACACACTTATACATGATTATTCCATGATTATTGACTATATTATTGTGTTGATTGAAATTTTATTCTCATAGATACATAATGAGCATAATGTGAAAGTTCTTCTCACATATTGAAGATTCTAGGTCGAAAGTCAAGTTCTTACCTAATGGAAACTAACAAGAAGACATGGACTATGAAAGTTATTCTCATGCATTATCTAATGAGTTATCCTAATGAAACAAGTTAGGATTCAATAAATAGTTCATAGGAATTATGCTTAGCACGAGTGGATATTGAAAATGAGATAGAGGCTCTCCCGTCAATTTAAAAGATAGGGTTTCTAATATTAATCTCATGAGATGGAAGATCCCCTATTAAGTAAGGTTGGGTTTCAAGAAGAAATCTCCTTATCCCATAAACTACGCGCCCTCGTAGGTTATTTAGCTATTGGATCCACCTAAAAGCTAATACATTTTAGTTCTACCTTAGGCAAGTAGGACACCCCTTTTCGGTGTGGGGCATACACCGCATTCCATGCAATCTCACATGGTCTATGTCGGTTAAAGCTAATTCCCACAAGGTCAAGTCTAGGATAAACTATGGTTACTCAAGAAGTACTACTTAGTGTGGGTGGGGGTAGGGGATTTCATCCATACATTGCACAAGTAGGCTTTGAGAGTAGTTGTGATAGGTTCCTCTTTTGTCATGATGACTCATGTAATGAATGTGTTTGTGACTAAATGGAAATTGCATTTGATGTTAAGGCTACTTGTAATGTTGTATGCTAACTTGGATTGTTGCTATGAGTTGCTTCCCTTGAGGTGGTTGACTAAAAGCGAATGCTTCCTTGTCTATGAGAAATACCCTAAGGATGAGATTAAAAGATGGTAAACATGAATGAGGATCTAAAGTGATTTGCTTAGTATGAATGAGGATCTAAACATTCATTGCACAAGTTTGCCTTAAGGTGGCTCATGAAGTGTTTCTTATGTCATGCTAAAACTAGATTGTATTGACTATGTATATGTTCCTAATGATATTTCTTATACTCACTACTTGTGATTGTTATCTACCATATGTTATAATATATGTCTTATCATGATGTCTTTTATGCTTATGACTTGTGTTTTCACACTACTTTGAGAAATGACATAAAGTCACCACTGAAGTTGTCCCGAATTTTCAAAAAGACACCTTAACTTTGCGGGTATCCTATTATCCCACGAAACTATTTCAAACAATTACAAATACATCATTTTAACCCATTCTCATAGCAGTTGTAATCTCACGTATTGGAGGTGCGTGAATGAAAAAAATCACCCTCAAACCAATCTAAAAATGCCACGTAGAAAGATTGTAAGCCTCCATTTTCTAAAAAAAGTTCAAGAAGCAGAGGATTTCTTGGTCAATGCCTTTCATGGTGGTTGTTGAAGAACAATTTCATATTTACTTAAGAGTTTAAGAAGATTTTATACGATTCCTAAGTGAAAATTTTCACTGTTATGTAAACAGTGAAAACGAAGGATTCCACAAAAATCTCATATCCAAAATCTTCCATTTTCCACCTCTGCAAAAACTCCATTTTAGTTCATTCCATCTTCGTCTTCTGCAACAACAACAAAAAATAGAGCTACAACGGTATGACGCTAAAAGAACCCATCAATTGAAATTTCAAAATTATCTCAATGCCTTTGAATTCTTTCGTCAACAATGCAACAACCCATCAAGAACAATTTATATCTATTAAACCCAAATTAGTTAATGCACTCATTTACATTGAAGTTTTTGAGTTTGTACTCACAGCTTGTCTATGCTTTTGAACTTGACCCAAAAGATTTTGAGGATCAAAATGTGAGTGAGTTAGGATTTTACCTAATTCGTTATTAAATCAGTAAGAAAAATAAAATTATATTATTTTATTTGAGGTGAAACACACGCACATGCTATGAGATTACAAAAGATGTAAAAAATGTGTATTTATAGTTGTTGGAAATAGTTTCGTGGGATAATAGGACAACCGCAAAGTTAGGGTGCTTTTTGAAAATACGGGACAACTTCAATGTTGACTTTATGTCTTTTCTCCACTACTTTCTAAATGATGGTTTAAATTAGCAAGTGCATGCATTCAACAAAAATGTCCCTTTTAGCATGTTTTCAAAGGTTTTTATGCATGACTATCATACTTAGTGCATTTTTGTACTAATCCATATTTCTTCTACATTTTTTCACAAAGTGTAGGGTTTGGCGATATCGACTTCCATTTTCGTGGTTAGGATCATAGTAGATCAAGAAGAAGAAGTTGGTAAGTCGACATAGCATTCGAGGGCTTGACTATTATGTCCTTTGAGTCTTTCTTTTATGTTTTAGACTTTTGTACGGGCAACGTCCCAAAGATTTATTCAAGTGTTATAGATGGTTTGAGACAAAGTGTTGTAGACTACCTCTTGTTTTTATAAAAGACTTCGATTGTATGGATAAAGTTTTAAATTTTTGGTCCATTTTCTATTATATTATGTTATGAGGGTTTTCGGAGTCTTGTACGTCGTGTCACATCTAGGGGGTACTCCTGGGTCGTAACACACTAAGCGGAATCTAAATCTTAATGATATAAGTAAATCCAAAACAAACTTAATAGTCATAACAGAAATCATCTGAACAACATCATAAACTTGGAAACTAATGTTTTTTTGAACACGTCTACTAAGATGAATTGCTAGGACAAGTCCCTAGCTAACTCTAACTACCTGAAAACTGAATGACTGAACTAAAGAAATTAAAGTAGGTCTTGTCCTCATAGATTGAAGAGTCACCAAACTCTGTTGCTAAGATGATACACAATTGTACTAACCATGAGCCTGATGTTGAGTGTTTAAACCTATATTATGAATAACATAGCGCAAAAAAAAGTACGCAGTTAGTACTTTGAATGTACTGAGCATGTGAGATATGCACTATAATCTATAGAGCTGAATATTATGAACCTGAGATGCCAAACTGAATATGGAATTGATATATATAGGTTGTTCCAATAACTAAGTAATAAACATGAAACTGGTCAATGATGTTCTAAATAAGCTAAATACGAGGTCATGCAATATCTGAGTTTGAACTCTGGAAGATACTATAACCGACATACTCCGTTTGAGCTAGACGGAGTCCAACCTGTGTCCTAGTTAGGAGGGCGCTCTGTACCTTGTTAAGGATACAGACACTGACCGACATGGATCCACTGAACTAATGTCCAAAAGGACTTATGTGTCAAGCTTGGTTTGAAAGGTGAACCTTTAGAACCCATGATGACATGTAGTTTTGGGACATAGGGATTGCTACTAAAGTTTTCATCCTAATTGATGGGTATGGGTGTTCACGGGTTGGTTTGGGTCGGTTAATTGTCAAAATCAAAATCAAACCAATTTAATTGATTTTTAAATTATTAAAACTAAATCAAATAGAAATATATATTTATCGATTTGGTTGTTAGAGATTTTTTATTTGATTTGGTTCGATTGTTCGATAATTTACCATACATAAAAAAAAAAAATTCTCATCATTTCCCACATAAAAATACCTTGTCGCATGCCAGTGCTTTATGGACAGGCGTTCGAGGTTGTTCACATTAGACCAAGTATGATCTTCTTCATTCTCACCAGGTTGCTTATAACTATTCCCTAGAGGTTGATTTTACTAGGTACCGCATGGTGTGGTTCGTTCCTTCTACTAAATCCAATTTTGCCCTATACAATATATATAAAGGGAACAAAATTTACCTATACAATGTAATTTCTTAGTGATCTAAGGGAAATCAATTGGCTTTGCCACTATTTGCAACTTACTTTGCCTACACTAGAAGTTCATATTGCAACTATTTACTCTGATGTCACGAAACAAATGTTATTGGTTCCACGACCAAATAAAAATCTCTATATGTGAAAGAGATATGTTATTATAATCAAGCAAAGTTGCTTTCACTACGCCCTACTGTAGATACCATACATGTACAAATCTTCATTTCAATAATAAATAATTCCTCCTCCTTATTATAAACTAAATATCTACATATATATGTACAAAGCCCTTCCATTATATTATATAACCAAAGTATTCAAGTTGAAGTTTGAAGTTAAGAAGTTTTTCTTGGTTCTCTCCACTTCTCTCTCTCCATAGCCAAGAATAATCAAGATGGTGATGAGTAGAAGCAACATAGAGAAATCATTCAGAATCAAACATGAAGACGGCGACAACAACAACAACAACAAGTTCTTATCAAAGCTTCTTTCAAAAGAAAACTCCAAAGCTTGTGCTTCTATTCCTTCTTTTAGAGTTTACTATAATGATGTTCCAAGTTCTATTCCTTTCACTTGGGAATTACAACCTGGTACTCCTAAACATACATTTCCTCAAACATCTTTACCTCCTCTTACACCTCCTCCTTCTTACTACTCCAACACTAATAATAACAACAACAAAAAACCTACTAAAAATAACTCTAGATCCAAGATATTTCATGCTTTAATCATGAAGTTTAATCACAAAAAATCTCCGTTACCTTCATCTCCTTCATATTCATCTTCATCTACTTTATCATGGTCATCCTCTTCACAATATTCATCAATCTCTGCACCAACAACTCCTTTACAGCGGCATCATTTTTGTAGCCAAGCGTCATCTTTTGATGATTATATAACGCCAGCATCGAAATTATGTCATGGTAATAACAAATCTAGTGGAAATTCTGTATTTATGCTGAAAAAAGCCTTGTTTTCCATTGTTGGTGGACGTAGATCTAACTAATTATGGTTCAAATTTTGTTATTTCTTTGTGTTTGAAAAAGTTGTGAGAATTGAAAAAAAAAGTGTCTAGTCATATTACTAGACAATATGCCTAGTTGGTCATTAATTTCTGTGTTTGAATTATGTGTTGGACTTTTTGTGTCAACTTTGGCTGTTTGCACACTGCAAACATTATCTCTAATGATGAATGTAATTAATTAACCTTATTACTATTTCTTCTTTTCACATTTTGTTTTTGCACGTCTATCAATTATTCGGTTTAGATTTTTGTTCACATTTCCTTTTTTAGTTGTCCCTAATTACTTGTCCATTTTGACAAATCAAGAAAGGACAAAAAAAATTTTACCTATTAAACCTCAATTAATTACTTTTGAAAAATGAAATCTTAAGTTTTTAATTCATCAAATTCATAATTAATATGGGTAAAATGGTAAACTCACTATGTCAATTATTATTTTCTTAACAGGTGTGTCAATTCAAAAGTGGACAAGTAATTAGGGACAGAGAAAGTATTAATTAATTAGGGACATAGGGAGTATTAATTGATATTTACTTTTCGATTTTGAGAAATAATTAAAAAATAACTGATTAATGCTGAAGGTAAAAATAATGAAAAAATTAATACGTTAAAAGTGAACTCCACTACTAGGGGCTCTTCTTATGAGCACAGTAAAACTTTTACTAGTTGCTTCCTGCTTTTTTGTCTTTTCCTTTTTCAGTTTCAACTTCCATCATCATAAAATGATATCTGCGTAGTGTTACGTTCATTGTGTCATGATAGAAATTAGCTAGGTACACGACGATTTCCTACCAAATTAAGAGCATGTTTGAATTGACTTAAAAAAAAGTATTTTCTCCATTCTATTTTATGTGAGGTAGTTTAACTCGATACAAAGTTTAAGAAAGAAATGAAGACTTTTAAAATTTGTGGTCCAAAATGAATGATAGAAATTTGTGTAAATGTAAATAATTTCATTAAGGGTAAAATAGACATTTTACAGTAATTGTTACTTAATATAGAAATGAGTCATTTTTTTTAGACGGACTAAAAAGGAAAGTAACACACATAAACTAGAACAGAGGGAGTAGTTATTAAGTCAAAAAACAAAAAGTCAAACTTAAATGACTTTTAAGTAAAAAAAAAAGAAGTAGGGAGAAACCTACTTTTGGTTTTTAACTTTTTTTAAGTCATTTTAAACTTATTTTAAGTTATTTTTAACTCTGTCAAACATTCTTTAACATATTTTAAGTTATTTTTATATTTGTCGACGCATTCAGAAGTCAAAAACTGACTTAAAAGTAAGTTTGACCAATTTTTAAGTCAATCCAAACACCTTCTAAATTTCATTAATGTAATTTAATATTATTTTTTACACCTATAATATATTTTTTTCATAACAGGTATTTAATAGACCATTCTTTTATTTATAGACCATATAGCTACGTATATTTGCGATTCTTAAAAGCGAAAGGAACAATATCAAGAATCTGGAGACAATGTAATTATACTTAATGCAATAATTCTCTCTGTATTTTAATACTGAATAGTCTTAATTAAGGATTTCGTATATTTTAATTTATGATAATATTAAAATAATAGTAGTAGTTGAATAATATAGTGAAAGTGTTGAATATTGAGAAGACATATGTCTTGGATTATGAATCAGTGTGTCCTTTTAAGGTGTATTAAATAATATGAAAGGAAGTTAGTTGGAAGTTTCAATCTCAGCAATAAATTAAAAGTCTTCCTCAGATCTGCAAATTGGAATCTTTTTAGCTGTGTTTAGTTAATTGAAGGCAGTGGTAGGGAAGCTTCTGCCTTATCACCACTAGTTATGTTATGTGGAGTTTGTAAATACATAAAAATAACTAGACATTCATTGCAGCTTCCTCATGCATACATTCCCCAACCTCCACTTCTAATTATTATTAAATATTCGCGGCTTGCTAGCTCGATTAATTTAACTTTAAGTTGAGTAGGTTCAATAAGAGAACTAAAAATACTTTCTCTAGATTGAGCTAATGTAACACCTCGAAATCTAGTAGACTAAGCTAGGGGCTAAGTACAAAGTCAAGGGCTAGAGAAATTGACCTTGGTACCCTCCACGAAGGTCCACACAGGTCGTGAAGGGCACCACGGTTCGTGGTGGTGCCCATGGACCTAGGCAGTGAGTGACCAAGGGAAGGTCACCTCCACGAGCACCAAGACGGCCCGTGGTGACACTCGTGGAGGTGAGGCAGTGAGCCCTCCAAGTCTGCCCGAAATGTGACCCTCCCCACGAGCCACTACACGGCTCGTGAAGGCAACCACCTGCCATGGGAGAGGGTGTGGTCCTGAGTTAGGTTGAGAGGGGTTTAGGGGTGGTTTACCAAGCCACTGGTCCAAGACCACGGATAGCACCACAACTCGTGAGAGCCACCACGACTCGTGAGAGCCACCACGACTCGTGAGAGCCATCACGGCTCATGAGAGCCACCACAACTTGTGGAGCCTCACGTGGTGATGGGGCAGTTCACTGAAAGTTAGGGCTTTTGGGTCTTTTCCGATTTTAAATAGACTACCACTATGTCATTTTACCCAAGCCTAGGACCCCTATATAAGTGATTTTAACCCCAAAACTCACATAATCAAGTCATTATTTCCAAAACCCAAAAGAAATCCCAAAGTCTTCCTCTCAAATATTTCTCTCTCTAAAACTTGAAGAAGAAGAAATAGTTCAAGCTAGGATCAAGGTCAAGCCTTCAATCCTCAAGCATTTGTGGGCTTTGTTATCAAGGTATGATGGTTTTTCATCCATGAAATCATTTCTTCCATGGAGTCCCTAAAATTCCCCAATTTGAGTTAAGGTTTTCTTCTAAAGTTATGGGTATTGATGAATGTTGATCCAAATGATTATGTTATGATTGCTTATGCATGAATTGATAGGATTACATGTTTTTAGGATGAATTTGCATGTACCTATGCCTAACCCATATCTAGAAAGATGAAATTCATGATGTAAATGAATTTTATGCCATGAAAGGAAAGTTTGTGGGTTTAGATGTATTCTTATAGGATTGATGAGATACACTAAGAATTGCTTGAGATTGAAGCATATATGATAATTTATGATTAGAATTGTATTGAGATTTAGGAATATGTGATGAGTATGAGGTGTAGGGCCTTGAAAGTAAAGCTTCTATTATGAATTGATGATTTAGATGTAATTGTTGTGGAAGGGATAGTTCCCATATAAATTGTTTATGTATGAGTGTGAATGGTTTTCTCACATTGAATGATTCTAGGTTGAAATACTTGTTCATCTAAAATGAATCTAAGAACTTATGAGTTATGATAATAAGACCTAGCTTGGATTGGTAATGTGATACCTTTCTATGGATAGCTTGGATTGGTAATGTAATAACTTTCCATGGACATCTTGGATTTGTAATGTGATCCCTTTCCATGGATAGCTTGGATTGGTAATTATGTGATACCTTTCCATGGTATCTTGGATTGGTAAGGAGATGATACATTTCCATGGTAGTTTGTATTAGTGAGGAGATGATACATTTCCATGGTAGCTTGGATTGGTAAGGAGATGAGACATTTCGATGGGATTGGTTGGATTGGCATGATAATGTGCTCTTCCATGGACAATGACTTAGCTTGGATTGTCAAGATGACGTGCTTTCCATGGATAATAAGAACAACTAAGAATTGACTACTTCTCACATCAAGTTAGCATGGTTATGATGAAACAAGGCTACTTCAAGAAAGTATCGTAAGTATGTCTTGAGATGATATTCACTTGCATTGATCATGGTTTATGAATTTTGTTGTTTAACTCTTATGCTTATGTCGATGTTTATTCAAGCTATCATATGCAGTACATGTTTGTACTAACGCATACTCTTACCTATATTTCTTATCCAAATTTAGGGTCTGATGATCTCGACTCTTATCACCGTGGCAAGGATCTTAGTAAAGGCAAGACTTGGAGATTGGTGAGTCCTCATAGCATTCGAGGATTTAGCCAACATTTCTCTTATGTTCTTTTGTTTAAAGTTTTGAACATTGTTGTATAGGTTGTGTCCCAAAATATTCATGTTTTAGATGGTTTTGAGACAAAGTGTAATAGACTTCCGCTTCTGTTATGAAACTTTGATGTTGCTGAAAATGTTTTAAATTTCCGCTCGTTCTATTATCTTATGTTATGAAAGCTAAGTGGCTTGTATGAGGCCTCTCAGGGCCTTGTACACCTTGTTACATCCAGGGGTACCTCTGGGTCGTGACAAACGATCTAATCAAAGCACAAAGTTTAGAGTGGTTCTAGGAGGTCTCAAAACCACGTCTAGTAGAGTCTTGCTCATAAGTGTGAAGCACGCCACATCTATGAATGAGAGGCTATTAGATGCTTAGGAAACTTCACTTCTTTCTTCACTCTAAGTCGTGCGATAGATTTTAACTCGTTAAGGTCTTTCTCTGAATCCTTACCCAATGGTCTACATGATATGACTACTCGAAGGGCTTTATCTAGAAGGACCAAGGGAGAAAATATTGGTCAAGGAGGTCCTCCTCTAGCTCCGGTTGACCCTTTGGCCGAGCAAGTGACTAATACGGAGTCTAGGGCTACTTTTCTATTGTTGGCTCAATCAGTGATGTCTTAGGCCAATAGGGAAGTTGTGGTCTTCATGAACTCAAATATGGGTACGACGGCACATGGAGTGAGGAACTTCACAAGGGTAAATCCTTCGGAAGTATCATGCCACTAGGCTACCCCCTTGACGTAACACGGGACCTAGGATCAAGAGTGACACCAAGCTAACCCTGTGTCTGGCATATCATAAGCGTACTAAAACAACTGAATAAAAGATATTATACGGAAGCTTAAAACAATAGTTAACTAAATGATGGGGAATATCCAATACTGATCTGAATATATATAATGTAATACGAGTTTAGTGATACTGAAAAATCACTCAAAAGCTAAAGTTGAATCTAATACTATGTCTGAAAAA